AAAGAAAGATAATGCTGCTAGACTAAGAAATGTGATAATATTGTATTCTAACTTGCATTGTCATACTATGGATGTTAATAATTTTTTTTTAAAAGATCAGTTTGGCGAGTAAAAGTGCATTGCTCAGCAATACAATACAGTGGGGTCTCGACTCACGAACGGCTCGACATACGAACGTTTCGACTTACGAACCGCTCTCATAGGAATATATGGACTCGACTTACGAACTTAGATTCGAGTTATGAACTCTTTTTTTCCCTTTTTTTAAAAGCTAAGTCATCTTAGGTTAAAAGGAAAAAAAGAAAACAATATCCCCCTCTAGTGGCAGAAGGCAGAATAGCAGCTTCCCATTAGTTTCTATGGACGAAAAGAGCAGATACGGATTAAATGGTTTTCAATGCATTCCTATGGGAAATGCAGATTCGACTTAAGAACTTTTCGACCTGAGAACTGCCTTCCAATACGGATTAAGTTCGTAAGTCGAGACCCCACTGTAAAGTGGTCAATCAAAGTTAAAGAGAACATTCTTCTTATTGGTTTAGATGAGAAGAGCCATGGCCTCTAGCAATGAACAAAAAGTCTAACGATTACATTCCATCAGTAATTTTGTCCTCACAAGCAGAAACTTCACAGTTCTTTTTATATACAATCAAGATCTGAAGTAGCCACTAAACCATATAGCATAGTTACTCAGCCCCAGATTCTGGCATTAGGACCTGATAAAACAAGAAGCAGCAGCAGCAGTAGCACTCATATGAGTTCTTCATGCATTTCTCAAAAAGGTTGAAATTCACACAGACCTGGCTCCATTCCTTCTTGGAGGATTGTCCTCAGAGTGCAGATTGGGGAGAATTTCTCGGCCCTGTGGAGCCTCAATTGTGGGGTCCTGCAGGGCTCGATTATCTCTCCAATGCTGTTTAACATCTATATGAGGCCGTTGGGAGGGGTCATCAGGGGATGTGGGGCTTCGTTTTATCAGTACACTGATGATACTCAATTCAATATCTCCTTTCCAACAACAGTGGATGCTGTCTTGTCCCTTGAGCACTGCCTGGGGGCTGGTCAGCAATGAATGCAGAATGGACTGAAGCTGAATTCAGGCAAGACGGAGGTCCTTCCGGTGGGTGCCTGAGACATCAGTGGTCTGGGAAACTACCTCTCTTTGGGGGGTGACGTTCGCAGCTTGGGTGTACATCTGGACCCAGCGCTCACCATGGAGACCCAGATGTCGTCAGTGGTCCGTTCCGCACACTTCTACCTTCAGCGGATTGCCTAGCTGCACCCCTATCTTGATGTGGGCGTGCTCACCACTTTGTTCTATGTGTTCATAGTCTCAAGATTAGACTACTGTAATGCACTTTACATGGGGCTGCCTTTGAGACTGATGTGGAAACTTCAGATGGTACAAAATGCAGTGGCCAGACTTCTAACAGGGGTGAAGAGACTCCAACATATTTTCCCCATGCTGGCTGCCTTGCATTGCTTACCCATTCGTTTCCGCGTTGATTTTAAAGTTCTTACGACTACTTATAAAGCCCTAAACGGTTTAGGACCTCAATATCTGGCTGAGCACCTTCTCCCACCCAGTTCTGCCAGACACTCGTTCTAGCCAGGCTGGATGATTGAGGGGCCTAACACCGAGGGAGGCCTGGAAGGAAAGAACTAGGAACTGGGCCTTCTCAGAAGTGGCCTCTCACCTCTGGAACAGCTTGCCCATAGAGATCCGCCTGGCTCCCTCTCTGGGTGTCTTTAGAAGTAAACTTAAGACATGGCTATTCAGGCAGGCTTTCCCACCTACTGTATCTTAATATTTACATTTTTATATCTTGGATTTTTGCATGTTCGTTGGTTCTATTGTTTTTAAATTTTGTAATGCCAACCAGAGTAGACTATTTGTCTATATGGGCGGGGTATAACTCTAATAAAATAAAAAATAAATAAATAAATAAGGAAACCTCATTTGAAATTAATACAATCTTTAAAAGTAAATCAGGGTTTGGCACAGTGTTCTATCATGGCAAAGGTGTAGGGAGAGGGAATCTCTTTGTGTATGTTTAGCCCTTGAGTGTGCTTAGAATAACTCTCACCAATAAGAAGACAATTATTACATGTGTGTTGCACTTAACTAGACTTATAGAGGTTAAAACAATTATCAAATATGACCAAGAGTCAATGAAACTGGTTATCCAGAATAATTCAGATGAAGGACAGGAAACCTCCCGAGCCCGAAGGGTTGCATACACACACTGCAAGATCTCAGATGTTCCCATGGCCCATCTACCACAAAAAATGCATCACATAAAAAAACTTTTCTTTTTTAAAATCCTTTTGCTGGTGAGTGTTCCATTTCTACATAACCTTTTGAAGCTCATGTTGCTGGGGACCCTCAAAATGGCAAAAGTGCCGCTGAAAAAACCCAAAGGGCTTTTCTTGAGGCTTTAAGGGGGACTGTTGTGGGAAATGGGGGTATATTTCAATCCCTGGGGCTCCTAGGATCCTACTATAGGGAGACGTATGTTAACAAAAATGTATATCGATGATCTGTAGACATTTGCGACTAAGCCCCATTTTGAATGAACAAAGGTTTCTGAAGGATTATTGCAGCCAAGGATCACTACCTCCATATTGAGAACACCTTACAAATAACATCTATTCCACCTACAGATTAAATGTGAGATTAGTAGTCATAATATAGTATGCAAGGTTTGTGTGAAACCAGACATTAAGAACTCCCAACGAAAAATGGATTGTTCTGTTAACATTAATTTTTATAAAACACCTTTCAAGAACAGATAAAAGTAACTTGAGTTTACATAATCAGAATTGAAAAAGAATGCTGAATAAAATATAAATTGATCACACCACTATGTTTGCCACATTAGACAAGTTTATAAAAGGCATTTTCAGATAAAATAGTTATTTAGAAGATAAACCTTCAAAAATGAAAACTATTGCAGTCCTTTCAAGAAAGCAGTCCTAGAAGCACTATGTTCCAGGTCCACAGGCAGTACCTGATTTAAAACACATTTGTCTGCTTCCAAATCTGTCAAGCTTTAAGACACAAATTAAAACATTTTCCAGTCAGTGCAAAGTAACGCTTCAAGCTGGGAAATGAGAAACAAAAATAGAAGAATGTTTCTGGTACAAAATAAATTCACATTATGAAAATTCCTCAGACATATGCTTGGGGTATCATCAAACCAGCATTTGACTAGTGGCTATTTAAGGACACAGATCAAGCTGCTAAAATGGCAGCTCATTAATATTAATAGATGTTAAACTTTTTTTTTTTGCATTTCATATTGTTGAAAGGATATCCATATTACTGATATGCTCCACCATCTCATTTAGCAATTCTGGAACAGTTTAGCACTAAGGAATGCACCGTCACTGCTGACAATATGCTGAAAACCAGGTCTAATATAGAAAGTTTAAGTATTCTACTAAATTGAAATTGCTTCATTTAAAAAATAAACTACTGACCGTTCTAATACAACGGGGAACATTTAAGTGATAAGCCCCTTTTCCATGGAAATGCAGAGGTTTTTGTCTTTTATTCTTAAACCTAGGTTTTGTACAGAAAGCAATCTGATGCGTGGTCAATTTTACTTGGCCTTATTCATCATACATATTCCTCTCAGGACCACTCTAACATAACTTTTGACATCCACAGGATGACTTTTAAAATGCTGAAGCCACAGTGGGACATATTACTATTGCAATCTGTTCAAGGATGATTTTATCAGATGACCCCTGGATTCCTGTTAGATTCAGAGTAGTAAATCACAGGTCTACTGGCATATTCTGGTAGATTTTTTGCATGACATTCTACACTATAATCATTCAAGAAATCACTCCATTAAGACAGAATAATACAGTTGGCTTTGTCCTCACTTTCTGATGTTTAGAATAGCTAAAATTTGCTGTGCTTCTAATATTTTAAAACCAAGGGAAAGGATGTTTTCTCCATTTCAGTAGATTTTATTCTATAGCAAGAACTTTTTTCCTTGCTACAATAAATAGCTTTAAATCTGCTGTGAAAGTTAACTTAAATATTTTGTACATGAATTACGCTTATTTAATAGTATGTCAACAAGGATTGTACATCAAAGGGTGATTAAAACCACACAGTTTTCAAAGATGCTCTTCTGGGTACACAAGTCTTTATGGAACATATTAAATAGAATTATCTTCTGAATCAACTTTTGTGGGCATATGGATTGGGGATTTGTGGCCCTTCAGTTGGTGAATTGTATCAGCCCTTACTATTTGCTATGCTGGCTAGAAGAGAGGAGAGCTGCCATACCAGAGCATCTGGCAGACCACACAATTTCCCATTCTTGTTCTTTAGGGAATGATACAAACATCAGTTTCAAAGTAAATCTATTAAACATTTATCATACTTAGGAGCTTCAAATTAAATTGATGCAGTATTGTGTCATAAGAGAAGATATCTTCCCAGAAGGTAAGACTGAACTCTATAAATACTACTGCATAGATATGTCATTTCTGTCCCTTAATTTTGTCCTCCAGGAACTGGCTGTTACTTTAAATCATAAGTACCTAATTCTGCAATATGTCGCTTGGTGAGTTCCTTAGAATTCTCCTCTAGAGTGTGCTGGTACACTCCCCTGAGCTACAGCAGTGAATTCTAACTAACAGTCCCAGGATATCACAGGATGAAGCTATAAAATTTAAACTGGAGTCAAACTGCCACAGCTGTGTGGTGCCGATATGTTCTTAAACAGCCATTGCATGGCTGTTTAAGAACTACAAGCCTCAAGCCCTTTGGTAAGTGTATATTCCACAAAGTGGTCTTAAGAGTTATGGTTGTGTTTCACACTCTGGAAGAAAGTGATCAAAAACATATCTCACTGGGCAAACTTTAGATACAAACCAGTCTTAAGGTCTACAGTTTCAATGACCATATGTGAAAGGGAATGGGGAGATTTGAATGTTTTTTGGGGGGTGGAGGGAAAAGAGGGGAATAAAAACACATCTGAACTTCTTCTCGAATTTATTAAGAATTCACTTAATAAGTTAGAGGTCTTGATTTGGTTTGTGCTTTGAAATGTACCAGTGTGGAATACCACTATGAATGCTAGGCAATAAGAAACAAGTTATTTCCAAGAATGAAGATATGATGGCATCTATTGATTAGGGCACTGAATACACATTTAAGGGAGTAAAGTAAATTTCATGAGTTTTGCAAAAATGGTGCTGTAGTAATATTAAAACTCAATGCAAAGTTCTTCTGTCTCCAAAACAGTAATGAATTATAATAATCCACACAGGAAATTAACTGTGTTCCACTTTGCAAAAGACAGGACTGTAATTTACCTGACCCTGCTAATATAACTCTGCATGATGGATCTACAGTATCTGGCATGCCTTACAATATTCACAGCATGAATGTGGGCACCCTTCATCAAGTTCATCATTGAAGAAGGGATAATTTTAAATGCATATATTTTGATTCTCTGCGTATGTTCCAGAAATAATTTACATTTCTGGGACACTACCATACAATTTAGTATTGTGCACTTTTATTACTGAAGCCATCTAGATCTTGAAGATTAACGGCTGCATGCTGAAGAAAAGCTGCCTAATGCCAAGGTCAAGATACCTTTAAAAAGACAAACTAAAGACAAAATTGTATTACACATTCATTTCTTTCTCTAAATAGCAAAAGTATATCAGAATGGGGGAACATAGTAATGAAGGCCACATTTCTTTTCATTTGCTTGATCCTGAAATGCGAAGAAATTTTTTCTGAGAAATAAAGACAGAACATTCACAACTTATTCAATGAGAAAGGTCAGTACAAAAACATGGAAACACTAGACAAGCACAGAAAGTGTGAATAAGAAGAACATAGGAGGGCTATCAGCTTGAAAATGGTCACTCACCACCTTGTAAACATGATAAAAGCATTTCACAGATTAAAAGTTCATGAGAAGTAAACTTCTTTAAATTATTTCTCAGTTCAACCCTGATTCAAAAAAGTATGGCTAGCAAAAATACAATCCACATATTTTGCACTGAGCAGTTATTTTCTTCTGAAAACTGTGGCAAATCTTCAAAGATACCTAGAGAACAGTATCTTCCTTGAATCTTGTCTCATACTTGCACAATATTTCAAATTCACGTACACATTATGGAAATTTGGCTTGATGCAGATGTTCCATACTGCTATAGATTGAGACGTGGGGAAATTGATGGAGGGAAGCAAGCAAATTCTCTTAGAATACTCCGTGCTACATCAAGGTTATTCTGAGCTATTTCAAGTGCCCGCTTGACTTCTTCAAATGAATAGCCTTCCCCCATAAGTTTTGCAATTTTTGCATCAACATTTTCTATAGGTGAGTCAGAATTATGTGCCCTCCTATGGTGTACTTCTGGAGCAGTCCTACGAGGAAGTGGTTTAGGAGGTCTGGCTGGAGCTTGTGAACCATCTAAAAGAAAAGAAAAAAAGAAAATTAAAATAATGCCTCAGTATTGTAATGAAAAGGAGGAAAAAGATATTCCTAGTTATTTCAAAGCCAATGTTTCCTTTCAGAAATTTTACTAACCAGCACAATCTGTTAGATATTTGAGAAGTATTTGCAATAAATTTACATTTTTTTGAGGGGGGGGGTATTTTTATTTTTTAAAAAGATACTTTTTCTGACACTTTTTTTCATATTAGACTTACCGAATTGTGAAATAACATAAAAAGACACTATCATGGATTGAAAGAAATGTTAGTGAATGAGGGTACCTGACTTTCTGAATCTCAGCACCGAGCTGAATTATATTGTTGCCAATTTTACTATAAAATTTGTAAATGAATTATGACAATAATATCAGGCTATATTTTAATCCACAAAGGTTACATATGGACAAATCATAGATAATCTTCTCTATACTGGCTTCCTGTTTGTTTAATGGTACATTTATTCTGTCCAACTCCTTCATCAGTCCATATTTAAAAAATGATCTTGACATGAGAATGCAATGATCTGCCTATATATCTTCCCTAAAACATTTAGATTTCAATTTTCTTTAATGTACACAAATATACACATATTTTTGAGCCAAGAACTGAACTGAAAAATTGCTGTAATCAAAAGGATAATTGTGTGCTGATGTGAATATTAGTCTGGGAAGTATAAGATCATTTTGATTACATACTGTATATGGATCTTATCAAATTAATCAAACTTAGCCCTCAAACACTACTGATTTCAGTAGAACTACTTAAGGCCTGGTTCCACTGCAGGAATAAAGTGGAAGGGACCGGTTTCTTTTGGATTTGGGTTTTGACTTTAGCCCAGCTAGACGTTTTGTGTCCCCTTTGTCTGGACTGTCACCACCTGCTCCGCTGCCACCTATAAAAACACAGTCAGTCAGGGGGACAAGCGAGGGGGCGGGGGCTACATTGTTAGTTTCACAGAACACTATATTCGACAGCAACATCAACCATGACTTTTTAACTGCAGTTGCTCTTTGAAAGTTTACAAATACCAGTTTGTTCTTTTGGGGGCATGATGAAACAGGTCAGAGGCATAATTAATTCCACAAGTCTATTTACACTTTTTTAGAAAGGGGAAAACAGAATAAGGTTCTGGACTGTTCTCATGTGGGCAGCTTGAGGAACAGACAGAAGACTATTAGCAGCACCGGGAGCTTGCATACTAGCGTGGGGAAGGTTTTTTTTCTCTCTTAAGGATATTCAGCTCTGAAGGTTTGTGTGTGGTGTTAGGAGCAGCTGCAAAACCCACGTGTGTGAATCAGAGACCACAAAGAAGGAGGTATACTTTCACAAAATTAGACATACGATGTTTTGCTTACTAGAACAAGACGGAAGTTGGTCATAATCTTGGGATGTTCTATGGGATTTCATATTTTCACCAGTTAATCTTCGAACGGGAGGTAAAGGAACTAAACCATTTACAGGATCAAAGAAAAGTTCTATAAAATAGAAAAAAAGCAATTTGTGTTCATAAGAGAATGTCACAGTAACAAAAGAATTGAAAGGACACCAAAGAAAAGCCGGTTGCTTCTTGTAACATTTCTTTGAGTGGTCTTCCATGCATTCACATTGATCAGTTTGCATCCTTTTGGACTCCTCAAGACTGAGAACTTCTGATTATTGGTTCCTCCTCCTCGATAGCACATGGTCCAATGCATTTTTGCTCAGTCTATAAGTTTTGGATCACACTGAGGCCACCGTTACATAGTCACAGGTACCACACAAGAGAGCACAATGGGTTTTGTGAATGCACAGAAGAACAAATGTTACAAGAAGCAATGTGTTCTTCATCATTATGGTCTCTGTGTATTCACACTGATGGGTGACGGCCAGTGTGATTATGACTGGCACAAATTGCCCTAGCAGACACATAAACACAGTAGAAAGGATACTCTGATGTCTTGATTTAGTGCTGCATGGAAGTCAATGTGGCAGGTAAAGACACTATTTGTTAAAATGCAGTCATAGTGGCCATAGCCCTAGTGGAATGTCTTATAGGGGTGTCAGGAAGAGATATATTGGCAAAATGGTAAGTTACTATAATTGCTTTAGCAACTCATTTTGCAAGTTTCTGGGGAAAAACCCAACTTGTCCTTTCTTAAGTCCATGTTATGCATGAACAGTCAGCTGCCCTTTGCATAGCTCTCCATATGTTGAGTATATAGTCTTCTCCAACAATGCTGAAAGATTTGCAGTATCTTACCACCCCTCCACTTAATAATATAAACAGTAGGAAAAGGTAAATGTTCCAGAACTGCAGCAGGGCATTGCTCAGAACAGAGATAGTGAACATCTGGCACTCTAGATGTTTTCAGCTACAACCTCCAGAGTTCTTTATCACTGACAATACAGGCTAGGGATTTGGGGAACTGTTGTCCAAAACACCTGGAGTGTCAAAGGTTGCCTGACCTGGAAAGTCCCTGATCTAGAAAGTCTTTCTTCATTCCCACCTTGCTTCAGTACTGCAAGAGCTGTTAATCTTGGAAGAAAATGCATGAATGCTTGGGTAACCTTGCAGCTGGATTATCTCATTGATACTAAAGCATACTAAGCATACGAAAACACTAGTCAAACCATTCCACATTTTAACGAACATTAAACAGTGAACAATATCTCACAATATCTAAATATCTCACAATATCTAAATAATGGGTATACTATTTAATGAGACTACTTTACTACAAGTAAACAATTAAGATTTTTATATCCTTCTATATTAGTTAAGTACTATATCTTTAAGATGTAATCCTACAAATACAATGCTGTTTGTGTTAAATGTGTTTCTTTTTAACACTTACCAGCAGGAGGAAGGTACAATTCATGCCCAGACAGAGGTCTGCTTCCTGCAGCAAGTGGTTTTGTCTGCTCAATAAGGCTGTGGCGTGCAGGTGGTGGCGGTGGTGGAGGAGGAGGAGGAGGAAGTGAGGGGGGCTGGTTGTTCAACACATCTTTACCTGTATTTAAAAGGAATCAATCACATAAACAAATCTTGAGTAACTGTATAAATAGTATATAATGATAAAGATTGCTTTTTCTCCATCTCTGTAGATAGGTTATTCTTTCAGAGGATTATATAGCAGGTCAGTGCCACCAGGAATAGCACAAGCTTCATTTCTATTATGTATCATCCAAGGTTTCAAACATGCTGTGAAAGACCTTTTACTATACTCAATCTATTTTACAGTTTCCAGACGTTTCTTCTTGGGTTGTACAAGTCAAATGTATATTTATAGCTAAGCTTCAAAGGCTGTAATCTAAATGTACACACAATTATCAATATACACATGTAACTAAATGCCTTTATAGTTATACCCCTCTATATACTTAAATATACATATTACGAAGACAGAAACTGAGATACAAAGAACTGTGCACAAAAGTGTGCATATAGTAGGTGTCTGTTTAAAAGAAGAACACTTCAGAAAGACCATCAATACCCACCCACCACCCTAAGTTGGTACACGTATTCATATGAATTGCATGTAACACACTGTCTTACTACCCGTAAACACTTATTTACAGATTATGAAGCAAAAGTCCAACAAACACCAATGAAAGGAAGCATAATTAGAATTCCCAAGGCCACTATTCTGGTTATAGCTGAGCTAAAGAGCATGGTTTGAGTTCAACTTATTTCAGCATAGTAAATTTGCTGATGTAGCACTTGTTATATTTTTGTGATTTTAGTACAGTACGCTCTTTGAACCTACTAGAAGTAGTAATGGTCTCATTTCATATACAAATATATACACAAAACTGAAGCTGACAGAAAGAACTGTATGTAGAACTGCACATGCAGCAGAGCTCTTTTCTTCCAAAAGCAGTAAGTAACATGTGGCAATTCTTCCAATTCAAAGGAACTTACTGACCTGCCTCTCTATCAGAGCTATACCATTTTGCCTGGGTCTGTCATTTTCAGAGTAGAACACTCTGTTAGAAAATGTAATTTCCCATACACTATATTTCATTCACACAAACAATTGCAACATTTAAACATTCCATTTCTCAGACTTTCCTTCTGACTTTGTGTCCATCAGCAACAAAATTTCCTTTTGACTAACCAAAACGAATAATTGGTGACAGTGTTTGTCATAGTTATCATTTGCTTTCTTCAGTAGCTGATCGGGTGCTTCTCAGCTAGGATTCTTATTTTTGACCCTGATCTCTTGTTTCACTTTCAACTGTCTCATTAGTAGGTTTTTACGGTATAAAATATTTAGAAGTGGTTTAACATTGCAACCTTTTCTGAAACATGAACAAGAGTTTGCAAGAGTTCTTCTCTGTGAAAATTCCTTCACCAGTGTCACCTTCCAATATTGCTGCCACTCAGCAGCTTCCTTTCAGAACTATCTTCATGTCAATTACCCCTTGAACAATCACTTCTGCTGGTATGACTACTAATTCCTGAAGAGGAGGAATGTATTTAAGTCTGGGGTCTTAGCTTTGACAATTTCACCAGGAGTGATGCTCCTAGAATATGGACTTGTTACAAGTCTGACCTACAGATAACACTGATAACAGCTTCTCTGAGAACACAGACCCCTTCACTGTGTTAAGAGAGCATTGAAAAGCAAGTACAAAAAGTATTAAGATCTGCAAATGACAAGAACCAAGTACCACTGCACGGCCTAACAAATATAATGAGGTATTCCAAGATACATATGTTGTATATATCATTTTATTCTCTTCTCCCCCCCCCCCAAAAAAAGAGAAAGAATATATAACCTGGAGGGTGTACAAGCAGGTCGTAGTCAGAGGGAGTTCTATTCAGAACTGAGCCACGTTTCAAGTTTTCTCTCACAGGAGGTCGTGCAGGTAGCAGTGGTCCTGGGATGGTGGACTCAAGGGCATCTCCTGAACAATAAAATCAACATTTAAAAGGGAGTACTACAAAAAGTAATTTCCCCCTCTAGGAATGGAGCTTTTTTTTTTTTTTGGAAATCATACCCATCTCTGGATGTCTCAATCTTTTCATCTCAGAGCCAGCACTGTGAGTTTCATTAAGCATTCCAGAGGACTGACCATTTTCACATACACTGAAAGCAGAGATAAAAACACGTGTATTTCTATGTTATTCACGTGATAGCAGGAGACAACGCACCTGTGATGACTGTTAGTTTTTAAGCAACTGAGGTCTTTACACCGATATAACCTACCTTGCTTCTTCACTTTGTAGCTAAAAGTGGTCCGCTAAATGCAAAGATTAAAATTAAGGTAAAGGCTAGAGAAAGTAATTATTTTATTCACCCTTTTGGCAAGTGCAAACATTTGTTTTCTTTCTTAAATGGGTAGGACTGAGATTATTTCTTTCTAACAAAAAGGCAGGAAAATAACTTCCTAGGACCAATATAGCATCAATATGAGAAATAGAAATAAAAGAGGCAGATTTTTTTAGAATTACCACCAACTGACAATTCAATTTAAGGAGTGGAACAGGAAACTTGAGAAAAGCTAGGTCTAGCTGGGCCTCAAAGCATTCCAGTTCAGATCTAGATGATCCCCATTTAGGGGTCTAGAAGAAGAGAAGTTGGAGAGAATTTCTAGGGCAGTTATTCTCAATGGTGATGATCTATGCCTCAAGATGGCGCCGGTAGCGGACGGCTAGCGCGTATCTCCGCCGCGCCTGTTCGCCTCTTGTGCTCTTTATTTTTTCTTTTCTCTTTTTTTCCTTTTCTTTTTCCCCCCCTCTCCTGCTCCCTCTCCCTCTCCTCGCCCTCCGATTGCTGGCTGCCAGATCGAGTGCGGGATCGCGGGGCTGGGGCCAGAGCTCAATTGCGGAGACCGGGTTGAAGCTCGATCTGAGCCTCCCGGCTTCTGCGGAGCTTGAATGCTCGGGAGCCCCGCTGCCCGCGCGAGGTGGCGTTCGGGCGCTTTCGTGCTCCGGCGAAACTGGGTCCTACAATCGCCTGGGAGCTGTGCCGGGGAATGGGCTTGCTGGCTCGGCTAAACAAGGAGCCCTTCCTGGAGGAGAAAAACCGGCTTCTGGCAGCTTGGCGCCTGCTGTGCCGGGGAATAGGCTCGCTGGCTCGGCTAAACAAGGAGCCCTTCCTGGAGGAGGAAAACCGGCTTCTGGCAGCTTGGCGCCTGCCCTCCCCTGATCATCTTCGCTCCGTCCCGGGTTGCTGTGGTGGAGAGGCGGTCTGTCTGCGGTGAGGTGGCGAAAGGAAGATCCTGTCGATTTAAGAGAGAGCTAACTTGCTGGGCGGTCACCATGTTGGGCTCCCTGCGGACAGCTTCTTCCTCAGCCTCGGACTGCCCACCCTACCCTTCCTGGATTAA